AGAGAGAGAGAGAGAGAAAATACGCTCGTTTAAACGCTATCGGAAGTCGCGTGTCATCATATTTCTAACGTAACAAACCAACAAACTAGGAAAAAAACGTACAAAGTCTAACCAATAATTCGCGAGGACGCGCGCACTAACACGACGAAGAAAATATTGCACGATCGCGCAACACGAGCTAACTCGATTTTTGCCGGTCATCGAGTTTCAACGCACGAGTGATGAATGACAAACAACGCCGAAAGATATGCCATGTCCATATCGTCGTCGTCGTCGCCGTCGTCGTTGCCGTCGTTGTCGTCGTCGTCGTCGTCGTCGAACAGTTAACACGCGGCGTGTCTTGCCATTTCTTTCCCTCTCACGTTTTCTTCTTCAACCAACTGATCTGTCGTTCGACAACTCACCGGTCTATCTCTCTGTAGTTTTTCTACGTTTCTTTCGACCACGCCGTCCTTTTCTCGTCGTATTACTTCTCGTTACGATTAATTTTTCGTTCTCTGTGACAGATAAACACTACGAATGCGGCGGGTTCTCGCAGCGTGTGCGCCAGCGTCAGTAAGATTGACAGTCGGCGCTGATGACAGACAGGTGCGCCCGCCTTCCGGCCTAACAAGTCGGCAACCTACCGTCCTGCTTACGTATCTCTCTCTGTTCGTCGTTCGCATACCCGTCTGCCCGCCTACCCGTCTACCCATCTAGATACTTGCCAAGGGCCTTTGCACGTTATGCCATTCAGTCGCTCTCTTTTCGCTCATTTTCCTGCCATCTAGCGACGCTTTACCCGAAACGTCTACCGTACTTGCACGCTTCGTCGTTATTCGTCGCGCGTCATCCTTCTCTTCCCTCCATTCGCTTTCACGTTCAATTGTAAATTGATCGTAACGTCAATGGTAGTTTCAACTTTGTTGCTCTTCTCTCCTCTTTTTCTTTCTTTCTTTCTTTCTTACTCGCTGTTGCTAGCACAAGCTTCTCCTTTCCGCCAGATTTAGAAAGAGAAAGAAACAAAGAAGAAAAGAAACGGAAATAACCAATATGCAAAACAGAATGCAATTCAGTTGCTTCGTCATTATCACTTTATTCATTTGCGTTAAATTCAACGTGCTTGACGATACAATTTGACAAACGCTGGCAAGTCACGAGACTGATCGCGACAACTTTGGAACGTGATACGTGAGACAGGAAAAATGAGAATGGAAGAATAAACTATACCTTCTTTCGCGATTGGTTATCACAAACTGTTTATACAATTTGACAGTTTTATACAGTTCGACTTATTCAAGATACACCGTAAACACTACTCGAGAGACAAAAGTATACTTTTTTCCAATAGATTCTAAAGGAAAGAGATAAACGGCGCCTTTTCGTACTTTCTTTCTCCAGCTTTGACCTGACGATTGAATTCCGAAACTATTATCTCATATCTTTGTCTTCTCTTTTCTTGAAACACACATTCTTCGAAATCATGGATCAACGACCGACACTCTTTTATCGCTTTGTGAAATCCGTATGCATCGATGCATTTAGCTACATTTAGCTCGAAATCTCTACACTCGGCATGATACTGATTATGAACCAGAACCGAACCCAATTCAGTTACAGGGCTCTGTATCGCTGCTTTGTGAGCCTGGTACTTGAACAAGTCACCGTTATCGTCAGACATGATTCTGAAATTTACGAATAACATATTATTATTAAATTTGAAAGCATTACACACGGACAAAACGATCAATCGCTCGAACAACTAACGTTAAAATTAATCAATATAACCTCTGCATAACTCTTTTCACATCTTATTTATTTCTATACGATACGAATACACAGCACAGATGCTAACGATACATTACCCAACGAAATATCTAACGCGTGCGTGCAATTCCACTCGTACGAACAAATCCTTGAATTTCAAAATACGTCTACTCTCTTAAATTCTCTGTTGCATAACCAGTAACCAGCGATATTGCTACGAGCAATTTCACTAGCATCGCCATCTATCGTAAGACGAAGACGAAGTTAATTCATCGAACAAACACGATTATTTTCCGTACGTACGTGTAAATACTAAATGTATCGAATGCATCGTAACTGCGATACTTTTTGTCGATTGTAAATTTGACAGTACGTCGAAAAGCTGTAAAAATTACGAAACGAACGATATCGTGAAAAAAGGTTACCGTAGATGACCAAAAACTTTTTTTTTTTTTTTTTTTTTTTTTTACGATCTGGTTGTAACGTTCAGCGGGTTGAGATGAAAATTCCAAGTTTTAATTTTACGAGTTCATTGGTTCGAAGGCTGCGCGGAACAGCTGTAAAGTCGAGTGTTTTCAACGTATTCGACGGGTTAGTACGACGCCATATTGGCTTCTACCAACGGCGTAATCAGATTGGTCCGTACAGATCATCTTGGACGAAACAATATTTATGAAAAGGATCGATTCAAAGATATAATTATTCGAGTCGGCATTGATTGAAATATATATCTAACTGAAAACGCAGTTTATACAAAAAAATACGTAATATCTTGGAATCGATAAATTCTTAAAGATAAAACTTGTAAATCTTTAGTCTCGGCTTGTCAAGATCTATCGGATTATAGATTACAGATTATTACAGACCAATGGCGAGCAGCAAAAATAGATATTTACTTTTCGACAATAAATTTTCAAATACGAGCGTCTTTACGACTGTCCAAGACACACTTTTAGCAAGATATTTTACCCCTTTTACTCGTAATTTCTAGCAACATGGAAAAATTTGAAAAAGTCAACAAAATCCGAGCTATCTACCAAACAAATAAAGATCGTATTTTACTCGACATCGTTTTATTTATTCAAAACGTCTCTGTTACCAAATTTCAGTTCAAAAGTTCCTTCGTCGGAAACATTTGAAACGTATTTCGTCGTTAATGAATACCGTTTCTCGTCCATCGGTTACAACAAAAAGTCGCTTATCTCTTTTTCTAGATGCGCAATTTGAACTGCCTTCTTTCTTCGAATCGCATTGAAAATAAAATCCGGCAGAACGTTATCCGTTCCTTTCGAATTCAGGAAAATTAGTCTGCAACCGTAACACAGATATTTCTCAGTTATCGATCGTTTCGGAAAAGATTCACACGCGTCACTCCGACATTGACGTTTCTCCTTTTTTAAAGCTAAATTTATGCTTTCAACTCGCTCGTTGCTCGACAGGTTGCGAATATCTGGCGAATTTGCAGCCCCGTCGAACAAAGTGTCCGCAACCGTAGAAACTAATTTCGAAAACAACTTTGCCCGTACAACAGACGGTCCTTCTTTCGACAAATAAGAGGAATCTGACGTTAATTCGCAAAGCACACAGATATCATCGTCATCGTCGACATCAGCACGGATCCTCGCGTCGCTGTTCTCACATTCCACTCTCTTTGCGGCTAATTTCTCACCGGTACGATATATCGTGGGTACGGTGCCGTGAAATTCGGAATCTAATTTACGAAGAAAATTTCTCGTAACATTTCGCACAGACGCGGGAAAGGAAGAACATACATTACATTTGTCAGAATCAAGAATCGGACGTAGATCGTAACACTTGAAATATCCAGTTATATCGTCGCGCGTGAAATCTCGAAGTGGCCGAAGTAGCGTTACGTCGTCGTATCTCGTATCGGAAGACGCAACGTTGAAAGGCAATTGAGAACCTCTTCCAGTCGATACATTGTCGAGAACTTTTACCGCAAGGTCAACAGACGCATCGGCAATGAAAATTTTATCGCAATCAAGCGTACGTGCTGCAGATACGAGTAATCTTAGTCTCAATCGTTGCAACAATTCATCTTTGGCCGTATCGTTTTCCAAATTATCAAATATTTCTCGTATCCTCGTATTCTCGCTCGTCGCGTTCATCAACGGGGGTTCGTTTATCAGGCGTATCTCTTGACGGATGCCGCTGTCGATCGCACAGTTTGACAAAGGTAGAACGTACATGGTCAATTGCAAATTTTCAGCTTCCTTGGCCAATGCACTTTGAATAGATTCTCTCTCTTCGATGGAACGTCCTTTCGCCATACCATCTGCACAAATGAAACGAAAAATAAATTAAAATACGAAAAGCGCGCAACTCGTTTCTCCGTTTTACTTTTCAGAGCTAGAAACACTTACCATCTATGTAAAGAACTTTAAACGAAAGTCGAAGTTTCTTGGAAACTGATTGGTTCGCCGCGTCGGTCGCGACAAGATGCAAAAGTAAAGTTGAATTTGCTTTCCCAGAATGAGCAACGAGTATCGAGTCATTCGTACGCACCGATTTAGATTTACTCAAAGTTGCTCGAAACTTGCGTCTCAGCGTAGTCGAGAAGCACCTTTCGCAATACTCGTGTTTGTTCTTCGAAAACACTCGCGTCTCTCGATTGCCACATTTCTCACAGAAAGGCACAGCATCTCGCACTCGTACGGTACTCGTAGTAGGAAAAGTAGTTCTGCAAACGAGTCAAGGATCGTACATCGTACAAGTAAAAACGTTGCGACGCGAACAACGTCTTACAAAATTATAAGATATATATACACGCGACAAGACACTCACGTGACTGTTGACTCTACGTCAAAGGTATCCTCACATCCGGATAAGTTTAACGTGCACATTTTACGGTGTTCGGTCGATCGCAATTTCACGAATAACCTATTCGGCAATATCACGAACAACCACTTTGCTTCGTTAAATAAAAATTATAATTTTTAATCGTTTCCTTTCGTCTCCGAGGACGACGGAAATTCACACACGACAAACACTTGAAGTTAAAAAGAGAAAATTTAAAAAAAATTTCGTCAGTTTTTCTTTCCAACTGTACATCCAACTCGGTCAATCGCGTTCGTCGGTTGACACGCTCGAAGTTGGTACGCTTGAACAGAGTTGCCATCATTACCGTTATCGCGAATACGATATATCATCAGTCGCTGTTTATCATCGTTATTCGTTTATTGCTCGTACTTTGTTCGTCATTCGTCGTTCACGTTGTTTCTTCGATAATCGTCCAAACTCGTGAAATCGCAATAATAATTTTAACTCGTACGAAAATTGCGACAAGCGTTCGAGAGGTTAGAGAGACGCGTGTCGCTGACCATTCGAAAACAAGAGAGAGCAGATTTAGCAAAAACTCGAGACAAACAGAGCGAGTACGGAAATGATTGGCGTATTAAATTTGGCGAATGCCGTTTTCAGGTATTTATCATCGACCGAGCGATTACTTTTAAACATCTTTCTAAATACATTTACTCGCAAACATTTGTCGATACAGATGCTCCGTAGTTGGCAGTTCGCGCAATATCTCCACCTATATACAGCCGTTATACTTTCGAGCGACCGAAGTTGTCCTGTAAGTTGTATCGCAAGTATCGCTTGCTTCCTCCGCGCCAGCAAATTGATCATTGCGTCACGTTTATTTCAGAGGGGAACCACTGAAGAAGAAGAAAAGACTGGATCCTGCGATTGTCAGAGCCAGAGAAGAAAGGAAGAGAAAGAAACTACAAAAGAGAATCCGTCAATTGGAGAAACACGCAAACCATATGAAGCCAATTTTTGAAATTGACACGTTACCCGAGTTATTGGAAAACGAGTACGTTTCGACGAGAGAATGTCTCACGCGCGAAAGGTGAATTTTTATTCTCACACGCGTATACGTATATTTACGCGCGATCGAACGTTTCTTAGGAAAAGAACTCGTCACCTGACCGTACCATTGTCGGAGAAAGAAGCAGAGAGGCGAAAATCGTTGGAAAAAGAATGGTGTAAATACAAACACGCTCAGTGGACAGAGGATTTACGCGTCATAAAGTCTATCGCGAAGTCGCAAGAAACAGCATTGAAGGAATTGAAAGCTGTTTCGAAGCAACTTTATAAAAAAGCAGTGGAAGTAAATATATCTTTGATACACGCGAATACACGATACACGAACCGACGTACATACATTCACACGTCATACCATTTAACAAGTATCCGCGAAAATTATAAAACACATCTTGTTTCAGTTTGACGATTCGTACATACCGTACGGCGTAACAGGACCGGTATATACTCCACCAATAACAAATTACGACAGTCCGGACGGTGAATATACAGAGACCACCGTTAGATACATGGGAGAATAGGGAATCGCGTGAAATGGTAGAAATTATTGGAAACGTTTTGCGTCAGAGATTTCAAAGCGTAACGAAAGCAAGGACAACGTTCTTTTCAAAACGAATACAACTGTCGTTAATTTGCATTGCATTTGCGTTTCAATTTGCCAGTCAACAGGTGTGTATACATACACGTTCGATAGAAAATTCAATTTGTAACCGAAACAGAATACAAGGTTATGATCCCGTTAATAAATCATTCGTTATTTTACGTGCGAATTTTATAGAACATGGATGTTTATACACGATACAAATACACGTATATAACGCAACGTCGCTTTGCTCTTCATCGATCTTTTTATCAATATTAATAATTTGCACGATGGGTCACACGGGAGCGAGCGGTTCAAAGGCACGACAAAGTTCAACGACAAACGAAGATTTGTATTTGCGTAAATTTACACGTCAGTTATCTCTTTTCTCGTAACGAGAACGACTCGCGGTACAAGTATCGCTGGTGTAATATTTTCACAAGTTAGTCAACGACGCGACGTTTCAGACATTGGACACTCGACGACTGTAACGCACACGTTACGTTTTTATTACCGACTCGTCGACGTCGATCCTAACGTCAATTCTCTCTTGCACATGGGACAAGCGTCGTTCGTCTTCAGACACTGACGCAAACAATCAGCGTGAAAAAGATGGGAGCACGGTGTTACTCTGGCGCCGATCATGTCGCAGAGACAAACAGGGCAGACATCGTCGAATCGTTCGATTTCTTCAGCCGTTGCTTTCCTATAACGATTCAACGTTTCACGTTCTAGTTTCAACGCGGGCCAGCCAGATATTCGCAACAGATCTTTCGATGTTAAATAAACGTTGGAATAGACGGCGACGAGTAAAAATTTCCAGGATGCTAGCGGCGCGAGTATCGCGACCAGGCACGCAGAAGCGCCAACGGCAAATGATTTCAATATCATCGAGGCGTAAAGTTCCTCGAGATTTTCGAACATGTCCGAACGAAAAGATTTCAAGATGGAGGGAAACGTTTCGACGAACACTTTCTCCGTTGTCAGATAATAGATCCAGGTTATCGTTACGTAATTCGTCGATGGTCTGCAATAAAACAACGTACGTACGCGTACGACATACGCATTTTCAACATATATACATTTCTCCTTCTTCGGAACAGTACGGCAATCGTTCGACTCACTTGTAACGCTCGAGACCTTGATGCAAGCCAAAGACCAGGAACACGAACGTCAAGGTCACGATAAAAGTGACGGCTTTAGTCCACTCCAACGCTATTTTGGTGGCAGACATGGCCAGATGTTTAATCTTTGACTTTTCCGTGAGAGTCACGCGAAGCGACCAATCCTTCCTTTCGATCAGTTCCTCGATATAACCAATGCAGTAAGTAACGACGTTGTAAAACATCAACGTGTAAAGGCACGTCATTTTCGGTTGTGTTAGGAAAACGCGATCAGCCAGCATTAGAAACATCATTTGATTCGTCATCACGGAGATGTTGTTCATTCGAAGGAAAAGGTTCTCCGCTCGATCGATCGGATCGTACAGTCGTACGAGGAAGGTGTTTAGCCGGTTCCAGATCATCCTCACGCCAGCACC